TCAACAAATCAGCATCAACCCTTGAGAGTAATGCTACAAAACTTAGTAAGCAGCAACGGGTAATCGTTTTTAATGATTACAAATTTCTGTTTTAGAACTTAATTTACGTTTAAATTTGTCTTTATGGACTACCACTGACATAAGGGTCTTGGGAAGCTTTCACTATAATACAAATTCCTTGATTATTATTGCTCCTTTGTAAGGGCAAGAGATTGTTACTCAAATGTCGTTTAGGCGGTGGCTTTTGAATGCGTTTATTGATAGTTAAGGAAGGTCAGATTAAGGAGTAGTCATTCAGTGACCTATGCAAGTGTTAACACATATGTGCTAATGAACATATCCGCTCTAGACCATAAATCTCTTTAATCGAAACTTGTTGTAGTTTGAATACGCCTCAAAGTGTTTCTTTCGTTAGATTTAATTCACTACATTTTGGTCTTTGAACGCTAGCACTTTAAGGAGAAATTGCGAGATGTCCTATCGGGCTTGAGGACAGACTCACCGAGATCTAAGCCTTGAGGAAAAGTTTCAAGTGATGTTGCTGATGACACATTGGACTATCAAATCGACATCGACTCGATTCGTGCTCGAGGGTTGGAAATCTCTTATCATTTTCAGCTTCTTAAAATATCGCTATAATTATAAACCAGCTGCTAATGTGCGAGATACTGTTCTGCAGACGGCAAAAGAGCTGTTACTTGTGAAAGGGGAGGGAAGTTCTGACATATCAAAAACATGTTTACCCGACAACACTCTCAAAGCCAGTATCTTACTCAGGGCCTGGCACCGATGGTTTGGGGTCAAACTGGACTTCGTTTTTTGCAGTTAGAAGCAACGGGGACATCGTTTTTATGAGGTCCTGGAGGAAGCGCCAAAACAAAAACACGACGAACATATCAGGATTCACGAGCTGAACGTGTTCTTTCGCAAGCGCGCGAATTTCAAATGCAAGACTCAAACAAACAAATGGCTTGTTTACAGCGCACAAACAATCACATGGCTCCGAATTTGGGCTATGTGTATACAATATTACACCAAACTATGTTATGTAAAAAGTTCCCAAAACTTATGTGCCCTAATATCTGTTCTCGAATTTGTTGGTTTCTAGACCAGCTACCAAACCAACTGGGTTGATTCGGAGCATAAATATCGGAGAGTTCACATAAGTTTTGGACCTTTTTGATTTGGACGATTAGAACGGTCAAAAATCTATCATATAGTGAAGAGAGCGGATCAAGCCGTTGCCTCTCCCCTTTTTTGAGTCAAAAGTAGTATAATTCTACGCGTTGATAGATATCGCGCTCCAATCACTTGCGGTATCCTTTGAAATATGTGGCGAAAGATGCATTGCAGGATTGTTGAGGCTACAGATTTGGTTGGCCTAGGAGATCGACATTCCCAGCATCAAAATGGTACTATACCCAATGGCAAAGCCTTTAATCGACTCGAAATGTTTTCTTTTTGCTTTTTTTATATTACATACCTCAAAATGCGCTTTTTTCGCTTTTTTGTTGCTATTTTGGTTGAATTAGGGTTTCCCTACTGATTTTCACGTCGAGAGGGACTTCGTAAATTTTCGCGAAGTCATGGGGAACTTCGTTTCCAAAAAACCTCCAAACCAACGCGTGCCGGGCCCTGATCTTACTTATTCTATTTTTCTACTTTTTTATTCATTTGATTTTTTTAGAAGGCAAGTAGTAATGTTTACAGATTATAAACACACTTTCTGGAAAAACAAATCATTGGCCAACGAATGCTCGACTCATGCATATCAAAACAGTTCAAGATCTAATAGATTTTTATGAAGAACCAGTAGAGAATATAATCACTTATACCAAGTTCGTTCTTTTTCACGACAGATTCTTTGCAACTCGTCAATTTCTAGGCTAGTAAGACAGGAAACAAAGCCGCCAAATAACCATATGTTAGAGCATGCTAGACGATTCCACCCGGAGGATAATGAAGCCTGGCGTGCAGGTATGTGTCATCATTCAAGCCGACACATTTTTCTCATTGTTATCTCTCACCTTCATGTTACAAAGGTCATATTTGAGGCATTACTGTTTTCCCTGGTATGGTGGATAAGTTATAAGTTTACGTAATAAACGTCTCCTCCGCCAGTTCAAGTCGAAATCGGATTGGTTCGATTATAAAGATCAAATGCGCAATCTCTTCCCTTTCTTTTTCTCCTTTTCACTACTTTTTATCCTTAGAATGGGAGAAAATAGCCCTTTTTTTGTTCATTTCAACTGCCCATATGATTATGTTTTAAAAGTTTCGACTACACAGACCCGACAAGGACATGCCATGGGAAAGCGAGATTGCAAAGCGAATGGATAGGTCAATAATCCTTGCATTAAAATGCGTGTACCTAACGACTAGTGTTTACTTATTATTATTTTCAGCCATCCAGAAAAACGATATGATTTGAAAACCAAGCAGTTCATAAGATCCAAATGACAAATCAACGGCAGAGACTGGGACTGCCGTTTTAGCACATATTTAATTGTTAAAATTTTCTGATTGTTAATAGATAGATTTCATAGATACCTATGGCATATTATTTGTGCTCAACGTCTTACATAATGACGAGACATCGTGCTTCTTTATTACTTCGTTACCATGTCAAAAATCTCGATGATTTTTGACTCCCAGGTTTTTAGCTTACATGCTAGTTTGAAGTAGTAGCTAGCTAGTTTCAATGAACTGTTCGCACATTTGATTTATAGTGACACCCTATTGGGTGGGAGTTTAGAGCAGGATTCCTTCCCCAGTAATGAATTAGCAGGCTATAAGAATTATTCATTATTTCCTTCCATCTAATGGCATTCATTGGAATCAAATTGATAGACGATCTTGGCCGCATTTGATGCACCTTCCTTGCCCCTTCTATTGTTATTTTGAAGTGGCAATCCTCAAACATTTTCCATAAAAGTCTTGAAGTTCTCAAGTGAACTGTGGCTGCCACGCCTAGTCCAACTTTTTTCAAAAAGTGTTACCGTTTTCCAGCAAAGACTAAACATTGCGCAGATAGAGCAAACCTAACAATGTAGTCTCATTTTGTGCTAAACTTTAGCAACAAGTCACCCCATGTTTGCACCCGATATCTTGAAGAGCACATTTTTGAGAGCTAGTGAAGCTTGGCAGTAACGCCTAAGAACTGATTGCTAACATTGATCAAGCGTTAAATTTTCCAAAATTAGAAGGTTCAGATTATCTGCTTTTCATCGGTTGAAAAATGTTCAAAATCGCTGAAAGATGATAAAGAAACTCTGTAGAAAAGGTTCTAGTCTTTTTGGATTGGTTACGTCCAACGGTCACTTGAAGATCCTCGAGAAACCGATACAGAAATTCAGGAGTACTGTTAGAACTGACCATAGCAAAAACCATGGGTCGCGGACTGTTAGTTTTTGCAATGTAAACTGAACCACCTAGGTCGGGCAGAGTTTCGCAATTCCATGGTCGCGATTGACCGCGACAAGACAATTGTAACAATATCATTGCATGCCGAACTTCTCGGTTGTGATAGTTAGTCACGATTAGTCCTGTTGGAAACTATAACAACCGAAATGCGAGAAGATCGGTATGCAATGATATTGTCACAGTTGTCTTGTCGCGGTCAATCGCAACCATGAAGTTGCTTAAACTCTGCCCGAGGCCCTAGGAGGATGAAAAGCTACATCGAATATGATTAAGATCTTTGGCGCTATTCGGCTATCCGGGCCCCAAAATTTTTTAGTCATGGATTGCTCAAACTTGGTTCAGGGGACATGCTGATCACGAATATCACATTTTCCTGAGTACCTGGAGAGTACCTGTGCATTTCACGTCGATCCTTCTACAACTCTCACGACATGTTCTAACACGTCAGTCTATTTCAAACTGTGTTGAATAGTCTAACATGTCAATCATTGTCAATACTAGCCTCAAAACTTAGTACATCGTGTCATTTCAATTCTTCCACTCCCCACCGCCAGTCCAGTCATCATCCCTCAGCAAAGAGCGTCATCTTAATCTTCTAATTAAGAGTGCGCGGGCGGTCGCGTGCGCGCCATCAATGCGTGCGAGGACCATGTGCTCGCTTGCTGTTTGTATTGATGCTTGAGTCACGGCCGCGCAGCCGGTTTAAGTCCATTTAGATGGCGCCTTAGCAAAACAGAATTTCGTATCTGAGTTTGCATTGTGTATGTTTCTATACTCATCACCACAGTGTCATTCACTTTACAACAAATTTCTAAGAAATGCTCTGCAATTTTTGAGAAAACGTGGCTTTTTTTACCAAGAAGTTTCGAAATTTTTGACATTGTGAAACGGATCACGTTTATGCTGGATACCAGCAAGGACTTCACACGAATGACAGTAAATCTGACTCCAAAAAAGTTAAGCAGGGTTCATGGAAAGAGGTAAAGACTTTTTATAAAATCCGTAGAATACCAGTTCAGGGCCTTTTATTAATCTGTAATCAAGCCTGGAACCCTTTATCACAAAGCTTGCCTTGCACGGTATAGATTCAATATAAGAAAGGCTAGACCAAGGCGAAGGCAGCTCTACACGTACAGAGCCTTCAAGAGTGTCACGGTCGAAGTGGTTCAGAGCCTTAAAAGCCGCCTCGCTTGGTTCTCTCAAGAGGTGCAACACCGGTACCGCCAAGGCCTTAGCGGATGTGGTGTTGTACCACGTGAGAGCCCCAAGCGAGGCAGCTCTTGAGGGCATGAACCACGTCGAAAAGCCACTGAGTTCTGGATCAGCCTTTGAGCTTCTCAGAAAATTCAATTCTTGCTTTTAGACTAGATGCTTTTGTTGAAGAAGTAATATCATTACTAGGTGCATGTTACGAACCCAGCTCGAACTATTTGTTGGAGATTTTTGTGAGTTCGAAAAAGAAATGAGCAAGGACGAAGTTGGCGTTGCCGAGAAACTTGAAAAGATGCTTGTTTCAAAAAAGTTACCTATGTGAATATATTCAAGAGAACGGTGCTCCATGGTTGAAAGGGTTGGCTATGTTTCTGGAATGGCCCAAATATGAATCCCTGCGTGGATTTGTCCAGCTCAAAAAGAGTTTCATGTGAGAACAACACGTTTTTCCAAACTGATGTTTCAAAAATTTATTGAGATTGAATAAGTTTTTCTTGACCGCAGCTAGTTACAGGGATCAACCAAATGTCAGTAGAGACGTCCGGAAAAGCTGGCGTGGAGTACTAGTTCGATGCACGTGAGTGATTTGCGCGAGAGGCAGTAGTCAATTTCCATATTCCCTGAAATTTTTAGATCGAGACTCAACTTCACTGCTTACTTCAACGAAGGCATATATTTGGACTTTGTTGAGAAGAATGTGCCCACTTACACTCCGCAGGTAAGATTTGACATCATCTGCGTAACGTCTGCCACCTATTCTCTATTTCGTCGGCGCAGAGCTGAGACTAGAGCTTCGCGCTACGTTCGCGCATTCTCCGTAAGTGGGGGGAGGGCATTCATGAAGTAAGGACGAATTTGGGGGGCGTCTTCAGGTCATGCAAACATAATGAATACTTAGAACGCTCAAGTAAAAGCCAACAATTCAGTGCACAGCTCAAGCACTTCATGTATCTAAAAGCACAGGAGTAGAAGGGTGCAGAAGTAGGAAGAGAAGGTGCAAGAAGGGAAGGAAAGGGTGCAGAAGAAAGGGTGGTAGAAGCTAGAAGGGTGCACGCCTTTGTTGATTGAAATAATAATGACGGCGTTGTATCACCATGGGCCCATCAAACATCGTCTTCGCGTCGTTGACTGTTGAAAGGAATTTTATCCGCTGTTTTATCCAGCCACCCGGCTTTGTTCGTTGATCACCTCTTCCATCTCCTTCTCCTCCCCCTTCTATCCGTTCACCCACCCCTCTCTCCACCATCAGTTGACAAAAAGGGCTAGCGAGGTGCCGAAAAAAAATGGCAGAAGATGTTCACAATGATAAGATGTAGACAAAGAGTTTAATTGTAGCTAGATAGCACGTAAATGTCATTAGCAGCATTCAATCTCGAGATATACAGACGAGTCAGCACATGCAGAGATTGGTTGCAGTTGCGTTTGATTAAGATATTAAATGGTTGGAAGAGGCAACAAACGGTAATAGAGTGAAAATGCGCTCTATCCGAGAAACTCGACAACGTGTACAATGGTGTCCTGTCTCTGCATGCGATGCCTCGGCTATAGCTACATTATATCAACATTAGGATACATTGCACGCTAGTGATTTTCGATTATTCAGAGTGTGCCTGTTCTGATGATTCCAACAATTTTTTCTGTCACTACACAGAGAAATATTAGATACTAGCTGGCTTACCCGGCTCCGCCGTATGTTCCGAATAGAAAATTCCATTTCTTAACCGATCCGGACCAACTTGGCACACATACACTTCGGGCCCCGGCGGGTGTCACAGTCCACTTTTCGTTATCGATCGATGTCGATTTTATCGATTTTTTGCAAAATTTGAGCTAGGGGGCTGGAATTTGGCAAAGGGGGGGGGGGGCAAAATTGATATCGATCGATGACGAAAAGTAGCCTATGACACCCGCCGGGGCCGAAAGTGTATGTGTGCCAAGTTTGGTCCTGATCGGTTCAGAAATGGAATTTTCTATTCGGAACATACGTACAGACAGACATACATACATACGTACATACAGACAGACAGACGAACAGACATTCAGCTTTATATATAAGATCGACACCCGTGAACACACACGACGTGAACACCTCAGAGACTATTTCACGCTAATCACCGTCTGCTTATGAGGAAGTATCGAATAATTAATTTCATCTTCGTCGCCTGCGTAGCCTTCTTGTGAATGAATGGTTGACATATTTTGAAATCTTCCATATATAATTTGGATAGAAGAAGAAGAAGTATAAATTAATTTATGTAAAAAGAATGACTGAAGTGAATAAATATGAATCGAGATATCAGTTGTTATCGATTGAACGCATAAATCACGCTTAAATGTCTGGTCCTGAAATACTTGACATTTTCGCTTCATATGTACCGGCGATTCATAACACGCAAAGACGTGCGCCATTGCTTCCGGTCAAGATAGCTCGTGCCCGGGAGAGACAGCAGATGGAAAGAGAAACGAAAGAGCGCTTGATCAGAGAGACACCGATACGTCCGAGATATTCGCGTGTAATGAATCGCCTATAAATTAGAATATATCTCTTCAGTTTTTAGTTATTTCTGCAGAAAAATTTGGTCTTTTGTAAAATCCAGTCGAACATGAGCAAGGTTTGTCAAGGATGCAAAATAAGGGAATTATGATAACTTGATACAATATTATTTCAGGGAAAATTTGATCATACAGAAGTCATTGCCGAAGAGGTAATGAGAAGGAGAGATATCCTTTGGGATAACGCCAATAATAGGCTCCCGAATTTGAACGCAAGAAGATCCGCGGCTTGGAAGCAAGTTAGGAACGGTGTGTTTACGAAATGTGATAGAGACATGACAGTTGACCAAATCAAAAGGTGCTGGCGTGCTAAGAAAGGTTTTATTCGAGATTTACTTATAAAAGACTAGTTGACTTACCCGGCTCCGCCCGGCCTTGTCATTATTATATTCGTAATCAGCATGCTCGGTTACCCCCCTTTGCCAACTCCCAGCCCCGTAGCTCAAATTTTGCAAAAAATCGATAAAATCGATATCGATCGATGACGGAAAGTAGCCTATGACCCCGCCGGGGCCCGAAGTGTATGTGTGTAAAGTTTGGTCCGGATCGGTTCAGAAATGGAATTTTCTATTCGGAACATACGTACAGACATACAGACAGACAGACAGACAGACAGACAAACAGACATTCAGCTTTATAGATAAGATAAAAGGTAATATTAAATGTTATAATGTAAACCAAAGTAAGTTATTGTAGTTACCGCACGGGAACAGGCGGTGGTGTCGACATGGAGCTCGAGAGAGCCATAGGAAGGGGGATGGCAATGATGTCAGAGAATGACGACCAAATAGCAAAATCACTTGGACGCGAAGCAAGTTTTTGCGGATTGCGATCCGCAGAAAGTACTGTTTGTGTAAGTGTTCTGGTCGATCAGTTGAAGTATCATTGATAACAACAACTTGAGGCAGACGAGCCGGCCTCCAGCAGTCAACAACTTCACGCAGAGCCCACATGCGCACTCCCTCCAGATCCCTCAAAGGATTGTGAGCATTCTTCCACAGAATTATACCACCAACTTTCCACGGTTGGCAATAACATCGCTGTTTTGTTTTACAAACCCTATGGTCAGTTTTTGCAGTTTGAAAGTGAGACGGATGATGACGAAATTGTACCACCACGAAAAAAACCCCGCAGAACCCAACATCAGTTTCTCGAAGAGCAAAGAGAAGTACTTCGAGTGAGTGGAAGGCATAGATATTTGTAAAGGAGTTTCATTTCAGTTTCAAAAACATTTGCTTGAAACAGAGTACGCTCTCTGCTCCAAAGTCGACGCTTTGCTCGAAAAGGTGAACATCAAGTTGGAAGTGTTTTGCAGTCATGGAAGAAGTCATGAACGAGATTTGTGATGATAGTTTTGATAAGATAAAGGCCTTAGACGGCGATCCTAATATTGAAAAAACTGTGATTTGATGTCGAAAATGAGGATTCGTGAATATTAGGATCATTGCCGATCTACGTGGATTGCTGTTTAGCCATTTCTTTGTTTTTTTTTGTTTATGTAGTTGTTGATCGTTCTTGCTGATAGTAACATAGCTTTCTTTGCTTGTCGATTCTGTGTTCAAGAGTAAACGTACTTTTCCGAATTTGGATAAACTGCTTCACGATTTCTATCCTACGAAATTATAGAAGTAAAACCTAAATCGAATCGTTACCGTAACCAACGCAAGCCTTAAAGTCAAATGCGCGCCTCCGCAGTTGCACACTGCATTATCTTTTACGCCTAAAATTACTTAGGTACAACTCTAATTGCAAGTACTTTTGCAGGGCCAAAAAGTACGTAGAATTGTGATTTTAAGCGTGAACTATGTTGCGATGTGTAGCTGTCGAGGCACGCATTTGACTTTACGGTTGGTAAAAGCGTTCCTAAGAAATATTTTCTTATTTCTTGGAATTCGTGCGTTAATGCTGTTGCTAAGTTACCAAAATGTATTTTCGAGATTTTTCATGCTTTTTGAAGTTACAGATGTTCTCATCCGTGAAAGACGTCTCATGTTCTCTGCCTGTACCACCCGAGACCAAAGAGTATCCGCTATTCATCCCAACCGATAGTGCTAGTGATAGGCAAGATAAAGGAGATTTGAGCAAAGGTAATCATCGCGTTTGAGTCAAGCTCAGTGACTAATACGCTAATTCAGAATCTCTCCTGCCTTATACGATGTCGTTTTATCGCAAGCGCATGAGAGATTTGAGGGCTGCGGATAGCGGATTAGAGAGAATAGATATGACGACTGATACTGCACATCGACAGAAGTCGAGAGGAGGTTAAAAAACCAAATTTTACGCTGTTATTTTCTGTAGATTTTGTTTGAAGGTGGACCCGCAACAAGCACTTCTTATTGCCACTGAAACGCGGCGTGCATTGCTATTTGAGATTGATCGGTTGAATAGAGGATATTCTCGGAGGCAAGTGAAGCTTTATGCTTGCTTCATCATGTAGAAGGACTCTGATAAGGATTTGTCTGTAATGGTTATTATCCCAACATCTGTACTTCTACACGAATTCTAGCATACAGTATGCAAAAAGTAGCTTCTCGACCTTTCAAATTGGGGTGGAGGACTATATGTCGCCGAATCTGGAAGAGTCCTGTGCGGATTTCCTGCAGCAACGCATGTCCGCGCATGTAAGTAAGTGCCAGACTAAGCGAATATTTTGTCGCTCGCTGCAAAAGGCGCACAGAATTGATGTCTGCTGCTTGAAGGCACCGTCCACCTAAAATGGAGGTTGGCGAGATTATGATGGCATACTAGTGTGGGCCCCCATACTAGACAAACCTCCAAGCTTCGCCGCAAAATACTGCTTCTGGAACGAGAAATCCGCTCCGGAACCCCGCCCACTTGCATGCTTTATCTCGCCTGCGCTTGTTGCAGAGGGTTCTCGAAACAGGGATTTTTTGGGGTTTCGCTGATTTTCGACTCCATATTCGGAATCAGGGCTTTTAGAAGGCCTGAAAGAGACAAAAACATTGAAATCGAGATTTTGGGTGGACGGTGCCTTTAATGTCAGGGCCTGCTTCAGCTGCAGGTCCCGCGCAGAATTAACGTTAATTCTGTGCGCCTTTTGCAGCGAACGAAGCTGAACAAAATATTCGCTTAGTCTGGCACCTACCATACAACGGTGCGTATTTGTCGCAAATGACCGCGGGGACTGCCTTATTTCGGCGACATATAGTCCTCTACCCTCAAATTTGCAGTCGAACAAACTTACGGTAATTCCGCTTACCTCTGCTTTCATGACTAGTCATTCAATTTTTTTGGAGGGACTTCAAATCTCCAATTTGAAAAAAGACTTGTTACTTGTTGTCGAGTCAGCTTTTTGTCTTGTGTTAAATCAATTCTCCAAGTTCAGAGCAGAGGGTCCTCGAGGAACGCTCACAATCAGCAAAATCACAGTTTTCCTGGATCACGAGTTTGTGAACTCTCAGCTGAAGTATTTCAGTCACAGAGGTAAGATTATCCATATTGTATTATCAGTATTAGTATTATTAGTATTATCGCTTGATGTCGTTTTTTGCAGATAAGACAACCATTTGTCGTTATGACACAGAAAGTTTCTTTTTGCTAACGTTGTGAGTATTGTGTAGAACAAGTAAGGAATTAATGAAAAGGATGAGTAGTTACGAAAAGTGCCTCTACTATACTATATGTTTTGTGAAACAGCATTCATTTGTTAGCTATTAGCCACTCCTTGCCACACTCTGCGGAAGTGTTGCAGGAGCATCAACATGCTGGTAAACTTGTCGAAGTTTTCTATTTGAGCATTGCTGTCGTCCTTTCTCGCTTTCAAATACTGCAGCTTGTGCAAATGAAGCATGATTAAAATCCTATAAATATATGCAATAAACAAATCTATAAATGCAATTCAGTACTGTCTATTGGCAACAAATGAGTTGCGTTTTGGTACTCATGTGAGAATCTGAGGACATAAGTAATGCAAAAAAAGTGTTTTCTCGGAATGTGAAACTAATTGTATTCATAACTTCGATCATCTTCAATCATTCTTCCGATAATGTGACCACAAATGTGTCCATTACACAAATGTTTATACATAATGATTGTCACACTATACAACAAAAATAAATACATTATAATCATATACAGGCGCATTATAATATTCATATATATTTTCCATATATACAATATGTACATTCAGACGAGTTGCCGAGTTAGCTCCTCTCTGATGTTGTCCACCCCACTCTGCGCATGCCATGATAATTTTAGCCGCTTTCTCTAAACGCACTCGCATTTTCGATTGCAGTATCTTGAAGCAGCCCTTCCATTTCCCAAACACACATTCAACAACTACCCGCATTTTACTGTAAGCAGTGTTGAACCTGCGCTGTGCCCGGTCTTGAGGGTTTCTATACGGGGTCAGACTTTCGTTGGAATTCGTAAATCCTGAATCCCCGATCAAACAGAACCCCTCCGGAACAGCTCCTTCAGCGAATGCGTCATGCAGACGGCTGTAACTGTACACGGTAGAGTCATGAACAGAACCAGGAAAGTTGCTGTTCAAATAAATGAATCTACCGTGAGCGTCAACAACTGCAAGCACGTTGATGGCGCAAAACCCTTTACGGCAGTAGTACTCCCACCCTGAGTGAGCAGGTCTCAGGATGGGTATCAGTGTGCCGTCGATGGCTCCGACGACATTGGGAAGTGCTCCCAGTCGTGCGAAGCCATCAGCCTTCCTCCGCCAGTAGTTCACGTCGTTGAGTTGGCATGGTAAGAACTTCTTCACTACTGCCGGATGGTTAAGCGCCCTCACCACTTCGTCCACCGCGTTGGAAACCGTCTTTTGGCGAACACCGATAGTGTCTGCCAGGACGGCTTGGTGGGCGTTAGTGGCAAGATACCGCAGAGCGATGATGATCTGTAATAAATACATGAAGTGATATCTTAAACCCAATATCATATTAAAGTGAGACGTAAGAGGTAAGCTTCTTTAGAGAACAAAAATTGGGTAATAAACAAAGATATATTTGGCTTTAGTAGATGGCATCGCCTGTCGCCTGGACTTTTCTACACAATAAGGTGAGAAGAGTAGATGTAAAACAATAAAGCTATTTCTCATCTTTTGCGCTTCATTCTTTCCCTTCCTTTCCTCTTCACATCCCACTGCCCCCTCCCGTCCCTCCCCCACCCCTTCCCCTCGCTACTCAAAGCTTTCATCGAATCCCCGCCCCCTCCCAACTGCAAAATCAAGAAAGACGTATTATAGCACTATAGATGAAACTGCCAAAAAATTGCATTAAATTGAACTTTGTTTACTCTAGCTGACTGCCAACAAAGCTTCTCCAAAAGTCAGAAAAGAAGATTGTGAAAAATTGCCAAAGTTGGACATGGTAAAAACCATGGGTTTGAAATTTTGGCTATTATCTCACTGATTACGAGAGCAAGCGGCACAGGAGTATAACAGTTCAAAAGAGGAAGAAAAGCTGCGTCGGATAGTGCTTGAAGCGTCTCTCTACCTTTATTCGCGTGTTTTTATGACAGGTTGAAAAACGGAAAGAACTTTCGGAACGACCTAATATATCAATGTTTCTATTTGTCAGTAAAATAAAGAAAAATTCCTCCACATTAATTATCTGAGATTTCGAGCTCTTTCTAACAAAAAGCTTTCATCTAGATAGGAGAAAGCAAGGAGTACATTGAATTACTGAGAACGCTTGTTATAACAAGAGGTATGAAACGAGAAATATTAGGTGGGTTCGAGAATTCGTACCGTTTTTTAGACCTATTCTAAAATCGTTTAAAATGAAGATAAACAAATCGTTTGAATGGTTTTCGAGACACAATCTCTTCCTCTTTCCAGCAGCTATGTTGTGACTGTTTCGGCGAGCATTGAAATAATGTCTAAAACTAGAATCCTTCATTTTTACCATGTCCAACATTTAGAATTTTCATTCTAGACTTTTGAAGGTGGTCTAAGAACCTCCGGATACGTCAAACCTTTCTCAAACTTGTGCAATTTTTTGCATTTTTCATCCATTCTCTTTAGAATTTTGCTGAACTATTTTACCAGAGCATTGAATTTTGAAAAAATCGCGTGACACATAATTGCACCAAACACTGCGAAATCCTCAGTATATCTTGATTATTACTACACTAGTATTACGAAGTAAATGAGCGATTACGGCGTAAAAACGGATAGATTTCGAATTTTGACTACACCCTTGCGCACCCGTAAGTGGGAGTACAGCGACTTTGTTTGCAAAAGTCGCATATTTCGCGAAGAAAAAGTAGCTCTCAGAAAGTTTAGATACCATTTGATGCATCTTTGCCTCCTCAGAAAGAGGAAGCAAAGACGCATCAAATGGTACCTAAACTGTGTAACCTCAAATATAAAATCCGGTCATTTCAGAAAATGTATTTTAGTAATTCTAGAAAGCATGCCAGAGAGGTGCAAAAAATTGTATCAATTTGAAAAACGGTTTGCCCTAAGATGGTAATCAGAACACCTTCGAAAACCTTATAGGAAAATTTCAAAAACTAGTGAAAGATAGACATGGTAAAATGAAGGGTTCTAGTTTTCGGCAATTTATCTCAGCGCTCGTTGGAACAGTCACAATGGAAACATAGCTGTTGGAAAGAGGAAGAAATTCTGCATAGAACATTTTTGAAATGTTTGTCTATCTTTATTCGGAATGATTTGAGAATAGGTCTAAAAAACGGCACAAACTTTCGGAACCACCTAACAGTATGAAATTTAGAAAAGCAGGGATTATCTGGCATCAAATTGAACATTGCAACAATGAACTGGTGAAGAAAGGAATTTCAAAATGAGATAAGATTGATAGAAAATAATTTTTGAGGTTGTTTTAGATAGACTTGGAGAGATCCAGAGTTTCAGAACATTGTCCATAGGTTCAATTTGAGCTTACGAGTACGTTTTGGAGGCAATAAAGAATTTTGGCATTCTTTCAACATAAAGATGGATTCTGAACTTGGGAAGCAGTATGACTGAAGATTGCACACGACCACGTCAAACTAATGTAAACATACTCTTATGTTTGATAGTTGTGAGTACATGGACTTGTACCCATGGGAGCGAACTGTTAATTTTGTAATTTTTGCTTAAGCGAAGTTTTTAACACGGAGGAGGGGTAGCGAGAGGCTTAGAGCAAGGTATCTTCATCAAGCAAGTTTGCCCAAAATTAAAGCTCATAGGATGAGAAATTTCAGAATTTTCAAAGAAACAATGTTAATGTCAATGTATAGATAGATATACATACACAGACAGACAAACAGACAGATGCTTAGCGCTTT